AGCATTCTCTTTGGTGTATTAAAAAGAAGGCTTTACTTTCAAAAAGGCATCGGTTGTGAATACCAAGACTGGTTTCAATGGAATACCTTCTCAAATCAATTTTCTCACAGGAAATCATCCAGACACAATCACGTTCACTATTTGATTATAAAAGACAGCTTTTTGGTGTCATGTAACATAGCTTCAGAACGTTTCTCGTGTTCAACAAGCAGTATGACACAGCTGATTTATTGCTCCTCCTTAAAGTGATATTCTCACTGTTTTTTTCTGGTTAACTAACACTATGGATCTATTGAGATGAACTGTTACTTAAACAAAAATTGGAATGCTTATTTTGTGTGTCTTTGTTTATAAGAATTTTCATTTTCATTTTTCTCGTACATTTCATTTGAAAGAAAATTTTCTAATTATAATAACTTTTAGAATAAAGACAGGCCAAGATACACATTTTCTTACCACTTTTTTTTTTCTTGGTCACAATCCGTCACCAAAATACAGATATTTTTATAATTAATTATTGTACTGTTTTTCTTCTATAAGTTACACAAGAATATTACTTTAACTTTTATCATTAGTAACTGGGTCATAAAATAACTAAATCTGTGTTGTAGTAAAAGAGAGTACTAATTTTTATGTCTCAAAATGATACTTGAAATTGCTTAAATGACATATTTATCAGGATAAAATCGTGTACTACGGTTTTTAATCCCATTTATGTAATCTTCATTTTATTACAGAGGTAGTTTGTATATACAGAATGACACATATTTACATGGGGGAGGAGTTGCAGTTCCTGCTGTGTCTGCTTACACATTAAATCATCGTACTGTAGGTAAATGCGTTCTATGTAAATAAGTGAGATGATGGGTCTTTTTACTAACCCGTATTTACATGTATTATCGGGATTTTTACTAGTGACAGGGAATCTAGTTAATAGCTGTAGTTCTTTATGGAAATGTACATTGAAAAGTTAAAAATACCGTATAAACATAAGGAAACATTATTATAGGTGAATTAACTATTTATTATTGTTATTATTGTTTGCCCTCAATATAAACATTTGATCATAATTAAAATCCATTATTAAACATAGTAGTCCAATATACTGAAATAATCTTTTGTGTGGAAAGAGACCTATCTACTTAGCTGAACAAATATTCATGAAGCTATGTGGACGCTTTGTGCTACACAGCTCTGTCTGTGTCTATGAGGAGTTATCAGCCTTGAGTGAGAGAGGAATTTCAGGAGACAAGCTTTTGCTAAAACAAAATGCAACTCTCCAGGCAGAGGTGGATTTACCAGGAAGCTAACGAAGCACATGCTTAGGCCTTTTACTATCACTGGCCATTTACTTCCAAGGCCTTGCAAGGGGCTGTGGCACTGCGTGTGACCATATGCTTTTGTAACATCTACAAAAGTAAAGTATTTTATGTGAAGTCAGTTGAGACTATGCTGTCTTCACTTTCTTTGCCTTCTTTATACTTTCCTCATGGTAAGTAGGGTTGCAGTGACTGCAGGAATTTTTGAGATCTGTCTAAAAGGAAGTTGAGTTGGGGATACACTGAGATTGAGTTTAATATGACATAGATATGTGGTTCAGTCTCTGGCATGGATAGTTATGTCATTGCTAGCTGTCTCTGTGTAGGAATGGCTTTCTATCATCCATTGTGTCAGTTCAGCTGGTGTCATGTCACAGGATGTTAGCACCTGAGTCAGAGGCATATTACTCTATAAACATGTCCAACAGCATCTGACACTAGAAGTATAGAAATGGAAAAAAAAATTGGTCTTGAAATATACATACTAAAATGCTAGGCTGTGGAAATTTGTCCAAACCTTATAGCTTAGAAAGGAAAGAATTCTAAAACTTTATATGATAGCATGAGTGGTGATCTGTGAATCTGAAAGAAATTTTTTTTCTTTCTTTTTTTTTTTTTTGTGAGGAAGATCAGCCCTGAGCTAAGATCCATGCTAATCCTCCTCTTTTTGCTGAGGAAGCCCAGCTCTGAGCTAACATCTATTGCCAATCCTCCTCCTTTTTTTTTTTTCCCCAAAGCCCCAGTAGATAGTAGTATGTTGTAGTTGCACATCCTTCTAGTTGCTGTATGTGGGACGTGGCCTCAGCATGGCCGGAGAAGCGGCGTGTCCATGTGCACCCAGGATCCGAACCTGGGCCGCCAGTAGCAGGGCGCGCGCACTTAACTGCTAAGCCACAGGGCCGGCCCTGAAAGAGATTTTTCTAAATTATTATTAATAATAAAAAATTTCTATCAACTATGCTAGAAGATTGAATTATCTTCCTATTTTCTTTATAGACAATGTTACAACACTGTTTCGTGAGAAGGCACTCAAAGAGTATGCAAGCAAAAAATGTAGGAAAAAGTATTATAGAAGTGTGTGAGGCACTTATTGGTAAAAGTATGCATCTCGTTTGCATTTTGTGATGTTTACAGTATTTGTCAGCTTTTCAAAATATGTAATACATTGTGATTTTTCTCTTTCTAAACGATGTTTGCCTTGTATCTGATTTTGTATGCATAATTTTACTTTTTTTTTTTTTTATAAAGAAGGCCCAGATTATAAATTTTAGGCTTCATAAAACCTGGCTCTGCCCCTTACTTGAGAATGTTACAAAGAGGAACTCTAGCTGGAGAATCTTCGGGAAGGAAGCTGTCCAATGACCTTTCTCTTATGGCTTTCTAACTTGATTCCTGATCCTGTCACCACAATTAGCCTTCAGAGGAACAGATTTCTTTCTTTTTATTTAAATCTCTGCGCCCCACCCCACTCCCCTCCAAAAAAGAAAGTTTGCATCAAAATTGTTACAGTTAGTCATCTTTGTATGGTAGGATTATGGGTGGTTTTGATTGATTACCTCAGAAATCTTCTTCTCCCCTCTTCCTTCTTTGGTCTCTCCTTGTCTACGTGGACCTTCTGTGGAGAGTAATGATGGATGATTGGAGTTAAACGCTGTTATGGACTGAATGTTTGTCTCCAATACATATGTTGAAATCCTAACCCCCAATGTGATGGTATTAGAAGGTAGGGCCTTTGTGTTGTAATTAGGTTTAGATCTGGTCTTGAGGGTGATTCATGGTGATTCTTTTCATGATGAGATTAGTGTCTTTATAAGAAGAAACAACAGTTTGCTCTCTCTCTCTCTTCCATGTAAGGACACAACAGGAAGGCGGCCATCTTGTTTCTGCAAACAAGAAAGATAGCTTTCACCAGGCACTGAATCTGCCTGCACCTTGATCCTGGACTTCTCAACTTCCAGAACTATAAGAAACAAATGTTTGTTGTTTAAGCCACACAGCCTATGGCATTTCGTTATAGCAGCTCCAGCAGACTAAGACAAAGGCCCGTCTCTGAGGAAGTGCTGCAGAACTCACCTTCCAGACACAAAAGAACTGCCTCCTCATGTCCCCTCCCTCCTTGTTTTCTCCCTTCACCATAAGTAATGGTTATTTTCTCACAGGGAGATAATTCCCACTCACATGAAGGAAGAACACTTCACTCTCTTAACTGTTGAGGAGAAGACCCCTTGAAGAGAGAGCTTTTCTTTGCTCTTTGTGAAGGAGATGATTTAGTAAGCTTGCTTTAGGGTTCAAACTGAGCCTTCAGAGACCTCCCTTGCCTGACTTTCAAGCTTTTAAGAAGTGGGATTTTGTTACAGGGAGAGGAGTTGCCTTCCAAAGGGAAACTCTGGAAAGAGGAAAAGGGTATTGGGTTGAGTCTTTGATGGGAAATTGAAATGGGCTGGAGGATGGAGGGAGGATCCAAAAGGACAAATAAGAACTTCCGAGTCGGGCCGGCCCCGTGGCTTGGCGGTTAAGTGTGCGCGCTCTGCTGCTGGCGGCCACGGGTTCGGATCCTGGGCGCGCACCGATGCACCGCTTCTCTGGCCATGCTGAGGCCGCGTCCCACATACAGCAGCTGGAAGGATGTGCAACTGTGACATGCAACTCTCTACTGGGGCTTTGCGGGGAAAAATAAATAAATAAAAAATTATTAAAAAAAAAAAAAAAAAAAAAAGAACTTCCGAGTCATTTATTATGAAATGTGCCTTATCGGCTCCCTCTTTTTACTCCTGTGTGAGAATGTTAAGAAAAGTCTTTGACTTGACGTACAGGCTTGAAGCCTCTGCATTTCTTTGGGGAGGGAAGTTTGAACAGGAACTGAGTCCTGGGTCCCATGGATGAAGGAGCTAGAAGATAGTGGGAGAGCTGTCACTCAGGTCATGCACAATAAATTCTGGTGAGTAAATGAATGATGAAAATTAAGAAATATGTAGGCTATTTTAATAAAACTACAAGAAAATATACAGAGACCTAGGTAGGATATGAAGATGGCTGTTTTATTGTAGAACAAATATGGAATTTATTGCCCAAAATTCATGAGTTTGAGGGCTCTTTATGTCATTTGCTTATGGTCTATCTGGCAAGTAATTTCAATTTTCCAAGTCCCCGTATTCTCGTTTGTAAAAATGGGGGAACCAATTTAAATAACTTCCCTAGTTAGAGTTTTTTTTGTGAGAATTTTAAATAAGTGGTGTGAAAGGACATTATTAGAACACTTATAACCCTTATGTACATGGCCACTCTATGATTATAAAATAAGGTGATACTTATTTATACTTTAATTACTGTAGCACTACCACTAAACCCTACTATCCAACTAATAGAAATTAGTTCTAAGCATCCTCCTAGCTTTTTAAGTTTTCCAGGCTATTGCCTCATGTATAAATCCAGGATAGTCCACGGCTATCCTTCTATGGGTGATGCCTTGGTATGGGGAAGAAACTGTGTGCTCATATTTCCCACAGTACAACTGAGAATAGCCTGTGACTTTTAACATCTAGGATTTGTTAAAGTGTTAAGTTAAAACTGAAGCATAACTTCAAGGGCATCTTCCAACTTGCCTTAGAGTCTGTTAAATTAATTAAACAAGGAGGCCGTTAGACTGAGGTGGCTCTAATGCCATGGTGGCCTCTGTAAGCAAACCAAAACCTAAGCCTGTAAATGCCTCAAGGTTATGAAACTGAAAGCTAAGGACAGCCAATCACCAATAGCCAACTAGGCTTTCCGCTGTAGCCAATCAATCATTTCCTCGCTTTGCTTCGGCGTTTTCTCTAAAAGTCTCTCCCCCAGCTCCTGCTGGTAGAGCACTCCTAACCACTTCTGGTTTGGTACTGCCTGATTTCAATCTATTTTTACTCAAAGACACTCAAAATTTTTAATATGCCCCAGTTTATTTATTAACAAAGTCTTTGGAGGCAAGGTCTCTGCCTCGCTCTTGGCCATGCTCCACAAAGGAGAAGCCAGTCCAACCCTCACTAAATGCTTCAGGCATTTTCTCACCTCACTGTCTGGGCCCAGCTACCTCCTATTCTCCAAGAGGAAAGCAAATTCTCACCTCCCAAGACCAAGGCCTTACTCATTCCCTATCCCACACTTAAATCCTCCCTGGGTTTCTTGACAGTGAAAATGGATCCATTCCCTTCAGGTGGGTACTTCCACCCCCACCACAGGGAAGAGTCTAGTCCTGTGGGCCGGTGAAGATGGGCAAAGTATTTGGCAATACATTTATCTAAGTTTGGCTTATTTTGTATATATATGTACATATATGAATGAACATAATATACATATGTGATGACATTAATGTAGCACAAACAGTCCAGTCCACACTGTATGCTGATGTATTCCAAATTCAGTCCTGTTTCTGCTTACAATCTTTCCTCCTGTCTGAGCTGGAGGGAAGATGCTCCCTGACAGACTGTGAGAAAAATACATGGCTAAGATTATCGCCCAGGAGAAAAATGATCATTTCAGGATACGAGCTGTCCTTGCACTGATTTAACACTAGTCTCCTGGTCTGAAACATCTGCTTTGGGCTATTTCACTGTACTATGATTCCCCAGGAACAATGAGGAAGTAATAACTCCTACTAAAGGGCCTACCACTGGGATCTTTCCTGGAATGAAGGAGCGTTCGCCTGAAAGACAAAGCACTACCTCTATCCCAGGAGGCAGAATCTGTCTGTAATTTCCCCAAAAGGCAGTCTTTCCAGCTATCAAAAAAAGTTTAGGTGCCATTGTCTGGGCTCACCTTGTTATATTTTGTATAGCCATTAGCTACTATAATTTAAAGAGATAAAATAACATAAAATGCATTTAATACATATAACAAATATATGATTCAACTTAAAGCATATCTTAGAATTTGAATAATTGTCCCTTTTTGTAATCTCTAGAATTAAATGAACCATTATTCACGCTATCAACAAACATTAAAAAGTCAAATCCATTGGCGTTTTATGTGCATATCTAGTAAACAAGGTATACTAAAATTTGTTTCTGGCTATTAGCTTAATTAGTATGCATAATTCTTAAACATGTCTAGACTAAAATCTGAGTCAAAAATTTTTAGCCCCCAAAAATTCTAATGCTTAATTTCCTTCCTTGAAAATAGCCAGAAATTTCATTTCCAAATATACTGGCCAATGACTTAGTAGAGTTTTCTGCTTGTAATAATCTCCTGTGGCATTTTAAACACAATACAGTAAAGTCATAAAATTCTTCATACTAAATAGTAAAGCACAGCTACTAAATTACAAAACCTTAAAGTAGCTCTTAACCTAAATAATAATAAATAGAACACTTTAAATCAGATACTACATCCATGCAATCCATACAATGATATAGTAGTACACAATCACTAAAGTCATGATATATAGTTTTATCTATTAAAACTACAATAATAATAAATCAGAAAAATAAAAAAGTTTATATTTTTTTAGCACAAAGCACATGGTTAATAGCCCAGTTGTGCTAAATGTAAGTAATTAGTCACGCAGAAAAAAATTTGGAAGGATGTACATTAAATATTTTTGTTGGATGTCACTTGGTAATTTCTTTCCTCAGACATTTCAGTTTTCCAGTTTAAACGTCTATTAATTTGACCTCAATAAAAATATAGCTTTCTTGAGTTTGTGCACAAAGGGCACGATCTGCTGGCTATGAGATAAAAAAGCCAATTGTCAAGAGGCAAGATGGTGGAAAAGAAAGGGCAGTTTATTACAGCTTGCTAGCAAGGGGGAAGATAGCCAACTAATGTCTCTAAAGACCATCTTATAGAACAAAGACTACAGGCCAGTTATATAGAGGGCTGGTCTGCAAGTGGAGGAGGCATCTGGTCCCAGGGTGGGGCATCCATCTGATTACTGGGTGGAGGCATCTGGTCTCAGGGTGGGGGCGTCCATCTGGTCTTAGTTCCTGGCAGTCTTTTGTTTTACTTGATATGCCTCAGAGACTGGAGCAACACCCTATATCCTGATCTTTCATTTGTCATTGATGATGGCTATCAGCATAGACTCTCTGTCTGGGAATCATCACCTTCCTAAGGAACTCAAAAGAAAAAGGTTATCAACTTATAGCAGCTGGGAGGGGCCATAAAGTCCAGAGTTAGTCAGAGGTCATCCAAAGTTACAATATGGTTTCTTTTCTACAATATGGCTTCCCTTATATCAACCTTGTATTGAGCCAGTATCAAGTTGATATTAAATATAAAAGTGAATAAAAACATAAAATCAAAGTGCAGAATCAGAATCACTTTTTAGGTGTTCGTTATAAACAAGTAAGTCTAGGGTCGGGCCCGTGGCTTAGCGGTTAAGTGCACGCGCTCCGCTGCTGGCGGCCCGGGTTCGGATCCCAGGCGCACACCGACACACCGCTTCTCCGGCCATGCTGAGGCGTGTCCCACATACAGCAACTAGAAGGATGTGCAGCTATGACATATAGCTATCTACTGGGGCCTTGGGGGAAAAATTAAATAAATAAAGTTAAACATATAAGTCTAATCAATACAGTTTTAAATTGCAGATTGCTCAATTATTAACTGAGTGTTTAATTCTCAGAGAGAGTATTAGTTTGTTTAAAAGATCTTGACGCCATCTTATCTTCCCCATATTTTATATTTTATTCTTGGATCCAACAAATTTTGCCTCCTGACACCTCTATCTAAAACTAACACCAGTTTTGTTTCCTTTATAGTTGAATGAAACAAAATTATTGAATGTTTACTTGTTAGTTATCTGATTCTCCTAATAGAATATAAGTTTCCTGAGGTCTAGAACTTGGCCTTGATCACCCCAACTCTTTAGTATCATGCATGATTTACAGCAGGCATCCAATGAGAAAACTGATAAAATCTGACTGTCAAAACCTTTTCATTTAGATTACCTGGCTTCAGTTCTTCAAATACTTTCTGTTGATCTTTGCACTGAGCTATTGGCATGTTTTCATTTTGCTAGTCCTATAAATCCTGTTGCTGGTTTTGAAGCTAAAAGCATCTTTATAGCTTAGATGCACAAACCACACAGAACCTTGTGTTATTCACTGTGTGTGTTGGCTTTATTCTGGCTTTATTTTATTTTGTATCTTTATGGTCTTTTGAACTCAATATATTTACTTTTTCATGTTATTGTGTCATATTTGTTTACAAAGATGCTTCAAATTCTCTGAAAATAAGAAAGGTAGAGAAAGAAGAGTGGAAGAACATAAAGAAGGAGAGAATAGCTTTGATATATATTGATTATAACTAGAGTGACTGTATAATTTATTGCCCAAACCACGGCATTTTTGAGAGTAAAATGGAGAGTCCATAATAATTACATCAGAACAAGAGAGCCACCTTGGGAAAAATAGATGTCACCCTAATTGTAATAATTTTGTGATTTGGCAAGGTAAAGAAAAATGTTAGTACAAAAATAATAATCAGTCATGAAATATTTGCTTCTCTGGTCCAGCCTCACCATTGGGACAATGATAGAGAACACGACCCTTCTCCTCTTTAACCCATTGTTGATGCAAAATAACCAATAACTATTCTATAGATAAGAGAAATGAGGTGAGTTTACTTGAGCCAGAGCAAGGATTATAATCTAGGAAGGCCTTAGAAAGCGTTCTGAAAAAGCATGGTTTACACTACAGTCTTATATCTTTTTAGAACAAAGAACATACTTTAAACACACCCAGGATACATTTTCCTCAAAATTTCCAAAGGTATTCAGTTGCAAATTAGCAGGTCAACGTGGCCATGATGTCAGTAAAGAGACTAATCTGGGCGTTACCAATAGGGCATAGGAGGGGAAGTATGCATTCTTATCTTAAGAAAGTGTATTCTTTACTTTAATTGTTAAGCAGATGTACAATGTATGTTTGATAGGCCATAAATCAGGCTTTTTAGTTCAAGCCAAATCAGTTTGGAACCTGAATAGTTACCCCATATACCTCAATATGTGAAAATCTCTTGTCATTTTCCCCTTTTGATCAATAATCTTTCTATAGAAAGCATTGCTGATCAAAATATTGTCCCTTGGTGCCAGGGTGGTTGCTGTCTGCCCTGGGTCCATCACATCCCTCCGTGCCAGGCTTTTATTTCATCGATTTGCCCGGTTATCCACATTGGGGGGAAATAGTCAGATATAGCGGACAAGCATAGAGGTATATATTAACAGGGGAAGTGTTTCCTAGGTTAGGTAATTTGTCAATTATTTTTAGATTATCGCAAAAACATTGCACATGTGCTTCTACATGACTTTCTATAGTAACATTGTTTATAACAATTATAGGACAGGTAATCCAATACTTGAAATGATTAGCTTAAAAATGAATTCTTAGGCATAGCTTTAATAAGAAAAGGAGATTTGTCCAGGGTTGTAAGATCTATCGACCATCTCACAATGCTGAGAAATTGCTACTTTAGCTAGCAAGCCAGTCTTACAACACTGAGTAAAGAAAACAGCAGTCAGTTTGAATATTATGACTAATACAAGAATTCCAAGGAGTAATAGAAATAGGAATTGCAATTGAGTTGCAAATGGAAGCCAATACCAGAAGGGAGCCAACTAAACAAATCAAGGTCAGATATAGGATCGCCCAAGGCATTCAGAGATGACGCATTAGAAGATTCATTGGGTATAAAAACACGTCATTCCATTTGAATGATATATATATCCCACCTTGGGATGCTGTAAGAATATCTAAGGCCATTCTATTTTGAAGGACAGCCTTCCTCATTAAAGACAATTTAGTGTTTAAAAAGGCTATTCCTGCTTGACAATTGGTAAGGGCTTCCGTATGGGATATGACATCCTCTAGCTCCAAAGAAGGAACAAATATAGGTGGCTGCTCAGTGGTCATACCAGTGGAACACTGAATGAGCCCATCTGGCCTTAAAGAGAGAGAGATTGGCAACACACGTTAGCTCAGTGAATTCTTCCCTGAATCCAAAGAGAGCTCAGGGTGCAGTGTTTTAGCCATCCAGGCAGTAGCCAGGGCAGAGATTTGTTCCACATAACCATTGAGTTCCATTAGGAGCCACCTGATAAATGCCTGGCCTTCAAGACCAGTCTGTTCCAAATCAATCACTTTCTTTAAGTATGATAATATTCTGAAAACCTCAAATGGAACAATTTAAAATAGGTATACAGTTTAAGCATAACAAAGATTTAAATGAGGAGATTTACAATTGGGAATACTGGCCTGGTCCAGGGTCTTGGGACAGCTGTCTACAACAGCTGCTGTCTTCTTCTCATCCTGGTTTGGAGATATTTGCATTGTTCAGTTGAAGTCGGGTATCAGAAATAGGAACTGAAATCCACTTAGGTGGAAAAGCCTCTTTTTAAAACGAAAAATGTGATTCCATGAGTCTATGCCTTTTGATTCTGCAGCATATGAATTGGTTAAAAGTACCAATTGGTATGGTCCTTTCCAACAGGGCTGCAAAGAGTCTTTTATTTGATGCCTCTTCTGATAAACAAAGTCTCCAGGTCCATGATTCTTAAGGTCTGGGAGCTCTCTGTGAAAAAATTGGCTACCAACCTCTCATCATTTTTTCTTTTTTTAAGTGTCTCAATGAGACCTTAACAATAATTAAGATATTTCCTTTAAGCAAAATTGGCTCATACATTTCTTCCTCTAAATCCAGTTATTATCTTGAAAGGAGACAGCTGATGTGTAGATCGAAGATGGAGGAGCACTAGCAGAAGAGCTTTTGGCCATGAGAGATTAAATGCTTCTGAATGCTTTGCCAATTGAATTTTGATTGTGCTGTTAGTAATTTCCATCAGTCCTGAGGATTGGGGATGGTAAGCACAGTGGAAATGCTGCATTATTGGCCAAATATTACAAATAGATTTAATTATACGTCTGGTGAAATGAGTTCCCCGGTCCCTATGTAACTCAGTAGGAATTCCCCAAACGGGAATTATTCTCTCCAATAATAATTTGTCTAAAGCCATCGCTCTTCTGCAAGGAAAGGCCTCGACCCAATGTGAGAACACACAGATCATTTCAAGATACATTTATATTCTTAGGATGGTGATATTTGGACAAAGTCCAATTGCCGTACCTCAAAGTGTACCTTAGGAAGGGGAAAGTGGCCTTGTGACTCATGAAATAGTTTCCCTAGACTATATTTTGGGCATATAACACAACAAGTATAGTCTGTATGGGCTGCTGTGGGAGCAAGTTTTCAAAAGTATTGCTTTCCCCACAAAATTACCTTTTCAGGTGCCAGTGGGTTAATTGGTGTATATCCTAGAGCAGCGGCAATTGTGCTCCAATAGGTACTATGGGTTTCTTATTGGGCCGAAACCACATCTGTGAAGGGGTCTCAAAAATTCTTCCTTTTGGGGCCGCCCCGTGGCTTAGCGGTTAAGTGCCTGTGCTCTGCTACCGGCGGCGCGGGTTCGGATCCCGGGTGCGCACCGACGCACCGCTTCTCTGGCCATGCTGAGGCCGCGTCCCACATACAGCAACTAGAAGGATGTGCAACTGTGACATACAACTATCTACTGGGGCTTTGGGGGGAAAAAAAACAAAAAGGAGGAGAATTGGCAATAGATGTTAGCTCAGAGCCGGTCTTCCTCAGCAAAAAGAGGAGGATTAGCACAGATGTTAGCTCAGGGCTGATTTTCCTCACAAAAAAAAAAAAAAAATTCCCCCTTTTGACTACCACATCTGTTTCTCTTCTTCCATGGCGATTTCTTGAGCCTGTAGAAGGAAGTCTTTTGCTGGGTTAGCAGAGTTAATACACAGTAGCAGGCATTCTTGAGGCTGGACAGCACAGACACTTGATAATGTCTTGCTTATCATTTAAGTAAGACCCATCTGTAAACCAAATTAAATAGAATGCAGTCATGGTCTTTTCCTCTTGTGATGTTGGAAGCAAGGTAGCAGGGTTAACATAGTAAATAATATTTACCTATTCAATATAACCTAAGAAGGTTTATCATTTACTTGACAATGCTTCCCAGGCAATTTAGCATACAAACAAGCCTAATTAGTTTAGTATCTCCCTCTTTATAGGAAATAGAGAGAATAAATTTCTTTGAGAAGTCTCAGGGCCCCTTGAAAATTCTCAAAGAAAAAAGTCAAAAGAAAGACTTTATTTAGGTTATGAATTTTGGGGAGCTTGTCAAAAATTTAAAAAGTTTTTAAAACATTTGGTTAGACAAGATGAAGGGGCTGCTGATCTCGTCGCAGTGAAACAATGCTTAGTTATCCATTCAAAGTGACAGCAGAAACAGTCAAGGGCAAACAGCGAGTTAAAACAGTCAAAAAATCTTAAAAGAGACCTCAGTCTTTTTGAACAAAGGAAATTATTTTAACAAAACACAGTTTTTCTGCCTTTTAGGTAGACCTACTCAAAGGTAAAGGAAAACCTTTTATAACCTCTTTATCAAGTTCAAGAACACTATCCTTTTAGAGAGAGAAAAAATCAAGATTTAATTTTGCACCAGCTTACTTTTTTTTTTTTTTTGTGAGGAGGACGAGCCCTGGGCTAACATCCATGCCCGTCCTCCTCTACTCTACATGGGACGTCGCCCACAGCTTGGCTTAGCAAGCGGTGCGTTGGTGCATGCCCGGGATCCCAACTCGCGAACTCCAGGCCGCTGCAGCGGAGCGCGTGAACTTAACCGCTGCACCACCAGGCCGGCGCCTGCACCAGCTTACTTTTGACATTAAAACTTATTTACTTAAATAGTTCGGCACATGTGTGTGGTGATGGGTTGTGGTTGGTGTCTGGGTGGTGAACTTGATGTGGTCTATGCAGAGGTGGGTGTATAATGATGTGCGTCTGAAATTTATACAATGTTATAAACCAATGTTACTGCAATAAACAAAAAAAAAATTAAAAAAAAAACAAAAAAACTTATTTACTTAATTAGATTCATTTCAATCTTAGCCAACTTGACCATGTGCAAAACTCTTTCCTCATGGGCCGGCCCCGTGGCTTAGCAGTTAAGTGCGCACGCTCCGCTGCTGGCTGCCCAGGGTTCGGCCCAGGGTTCGGATCCCGGGGGGCACACCGACGCACCGCTTCTCTGGCCATGCTGAGGCCTCGTCCCACATACAGTAACTAGAAGGATGTCCAGCTATGACATACAACTATCTACTGGGGCTTTGGGGGAAATAAATAAATAAATAAATGAAATTACGAAACTCTTTCCTCAGAGTTCCTCTTCAACAAACCTTCTATAACTTTCTTTTTACATTCAGAATTTGTCCTATGCCTTTCTTTTTCCTTTCTAGTACTTTAGGACAAATTTATCTTTCTTAATCAAACAAAAAAAATTTCCATTTTGTTTACCTTCTTTACTGAAAACATACATCTTACTTTCCTTCAATACAAAGATGTTTCCCTTATTAATTTTTTTGTAGCTTTAATTACATATTAATTTTTAACCCTTAGAAACCTTAATTTTTAAGTAAAAACTAAGTAAGCAATTATAAACTGTCTTTTATATCAGCATTCTAAACACTTTTCATAATTTCTAGAAACATGCTACTTCATAGTATAATATTTTAATAAAACACATGTTTACCAATAGACCCAAAACACCTTTTAGTTTCTGTGATAAGCCAAAAGTAGATTAACTTATATATGTTTAGCAATAATGTTTCAGCATTTTCTCTTATTTCAAAATGACTCAGAGGCCGGCCCAGTGGCGCAAACAGTTCAGTGCGCACGCTCCGCTGTGGTGGCCCAGGGTTCGCCAGTTTGGATCCCGGGTGCGCACCGATGCACCGCTTGGCAAGCCATGCTGTGACGGTGTCCCATATAAAGTGGAGGAAGATGGGCACGGATGTTAGCCCAGGGCCAGTCTATCTCAGCAAAAAAAAAAAAAAAAAGAGGAGGATTGGCAGATGTTAGCACAGGGCCGATCTTCCTCACCAAAAAAAAAAAGAAAGAAAGAAAATGACCCAGATACTCAATGAACTTTTATCATTTAACTTAATTTAGCAGAAACTCTAAAGTTTTAAGTTACTAAAAAGAATTTGGAAGCTGTTCTTTCAAGTATATAGCCCATAAAACATAATTATTGTACCCAAAAAATCTTACTGATCTTTATCTATCTAAATCATTTGTTTCCAACAATTGTCAATCAAATCAAACTTAAATCAGTTTTCATTTACCAGAGATTAATTTATATTATGTTAATTTGAAAGACATCTGGATTAATTTCTATTACATTTAGAATTTATGTAAGCACTTACTTTAAGCCAATTAAATAGAGCTCTTAATTTTGACCATACCATCTGGAGGTAAAATATCACATATATGTAACATACATATAGACACACATACATAGAATCTCCACACCTATTTTAAATTGCTGCCATGAATCAGGTACAGTAATACAAACCTCCCTAGTTACAAATCCAAATTTTGTTTTAAGCCTTTGTACTAATATTTGTGGAGAAGACACTCAAGATGCCAGATTTTTGGCAAAGGTGCTCTTATGGCTGTTTTTCTGGCCTTTTTACTTTTTTTTCTTCAGTCCTAGGAATTAGTGATGCGCCAGTTAACAGCTCCCAGAGATGTGAGATGATAATTCTTTTTGAGATAAAGGAACTGGGTGGAATTTGAACTGCCTCTAGAGCTGCATTTCCAGTCTTGCAAGGATTTTTTTTTTTTTTTTAAGGACAATTGCTCTTAATTTCTCAGAAATTGGGTTGTAGCTGAAATGATGTTATAGGTTGATCTACCTATCCAACTACATCATAAAGGAACAGAGAAACTACTCAAGTTTTCCCCCAGATGGAGTTTCTGGGGTATAACCCATCCAATGGAAAGTGTTCCCAATTAGTTAAAATGCACCCGAGGAGTGAGTCTCCAGGGATGCTTGGGACATTCCCCATGGCAGTACAGCCAGTGTCCCACTGACAGGGGCGGAGAAGGGTGCAGAGCCCCACTGTGGGCATCAATTTAGCTATAAGATTTAGTCAAGTCCCATTCAGCCCGGGCACTTAGGCCCTGAGCCAGCACAAGGCAAGCCAGGGAGTGAAGAGGCAAAAGCCTGGAGCGGGCTGGAGGCCAGGGCTCCCAACGCCAGGGTTGAGAGTTACGTCCTTGGAAAAATGTTTTCAAGTTTTACAGAAGGTCCAGGTTCTTCTCAGGTCCAGCCTGAACTTAACCCCGACTTGGTGAAGACAGAGGAGGTGATGAACGAGACAGACTAAGAAGGGAAAGAGGTGATCAGGTCTCCCCCTCATGGCCTCTTCCCAAGGATTATCAAGATAAGGGTCACACACACAACAGTTCCTGTCCTGGGGCACACAACCCCAGCAGGACAGTTTACAGAACAAATTACAGAACTCTTGTCCCATAACTGTCTCAGTAGCCCCCTAAAATGCTCGACAGGTTCTTGACGGGAGACAAAACAGGGTTCCAGATTTCAGTCAAATGACCCAGGGCCAACCTGGAGTCACTCCAGTTGCCCAAAAACCAGAGGAGAGCTCCCAGGGGTGGAAGTTGGACTCTCTGAACCCAGAAGCTGCAGCCTTGTCAGTCAAAGCACTGACCCACGGGCCAACCTGACATTACTCCAGGTGCCCAAACAGGTTAACAGAAGCTTGAACCACTGCGAGAGGGCACCTCACTTGGGGTCACTGGGGTGATCAGGCCCAGAAACGAGAGGTGAGCTCCCACTGGTGGAGACTTTGAGTCTTTAAAGATTTCTTTGTTTCTCGGTTTGGAAGCTCAAAAGGAGCCCAAAGCGGCCACTGTAACTTTAAATTGTGCTGGGTTATCATGCCAGCTGTTTACAGTTATCTCTGTTTTACGGGTGTGGGAGATCAAGATTTGGCCGCCCTGAAATCTATCTCTTTACCTTGGTTGTTTTCTCTAGGGACATTTGACCTCCCCCACTAACTGCCTAAAGAATTTGACATGGTAGCTCCTTCCTGGAATAGATCTATCATGATGGCTGTCAAGATAACGTAGGGTAAATGTTACAATAGGAAAGGCACCAACAAGCCCCTCTTATCAGAAGTTCTGTCTCTCTGGCCACATTCTCTGGATGACTCTGCGAAGAGTTGCCAGACAATCATTTACATTTATAAGGGAAATCTCCATTTGTAAAGGTATCTCCCTCTCTGTTTTGAGAAGAGAGGGGGATGAGCTCATTTCTAGTGACTTATCAATGTGGAAGGTGAGGCCTTGAGCTGCATAATAACCTTACTCTTGTTTACTGTGCTTTAGTGGTAATCTCCTGTAACTGACTCCCCCCACCCCCAAAATCCTCCTTTGTCATTGGCTGAAAATGATATTTAAGACGAGAATTTCTGCTATTGTGTTGAGAAAAGCAGTGTCCCTGCTTTCTCCCATGTATACATGTTATTAAACTTGGTATTATTTTCTCCTGCTAACCTGTCTTGTTGATTATTTGGCCAGCCAGAAGAACCTTAAGGGAAAGGGCAGAGGGAGATTCTCCCTCTTCCCCCTACACGGGGCTTTTCCCAAGGTGGCAGCAACAAACAAGGTAATTTCTAAAGAAAGTTTGTTATGATCACTGAGAAGAGACTCAGTCCCCAAACAGCCAATTTTAAACTATTTACTGACACAGACACGGACACAGACACAGAAAAAACAGACAGATGCAACAAAGATTTTATAGTCTCTGTTTTAAAAATTTTAACAGTTTGCGTCTGCAAAAGCTTCTTTTTCCATTTTTTTCTTTCTGTCTGTCTTAGGCCCCCCTTCTTTTTTGTTTTTTTTTTATCATTTTCACAAGTCTCCAGAGTTCGGAGGAGATGCTGGCCATTTGGGAACTGGTTGGGCTTTTAGAAGCTCAATTTCCCACTTTTCTTTTAGTTTTGTTTTGCTATAAAGTCTGAACAACATCTAAGGACAGTGTAGTGGGTTGGAAGTGTGCTGCTTTTAAATGTTGCTCCCTAAAGTAAGGTTGTAAACACTCTCTTACGTGCCTTGGTTTTTCCCACCAGCAACCTAATACCACCACGGGGGCTCAGAGCGTGTGGGTGACCAAGGCTCATAGGCGCTTCCCCAGACGAGCTGTTAATTAATTAACGTGAATGATAGTGGAGTTCCCTATGGGGACTGCTGCACGTCTCGAGGTTCAACTTCAGACACTCCCGCTAGGTTCTCAGTCACCTGAGAAAGCCTTTTTGGCCAGGAGGAGCTGGTGTCCCTTCTCTTTGGAGCTGAACAAGTTCAGTCTCTCATTTCTCTATCAAGCAGTTTGTTCAGATGTTTTAAACACAATTCTTTCCAATTTAAAGCCAAATTAAAAAGGTCAGCCTGCCCCATTCACTCCAAACTTCCCTCTAGGCTCACCTAGCCTAGGAAATTCCCCCCTAGGTTCCTCTGACCTAGGGTATGTACTGGCACCCCCTTAAGACATCTAGTCTTAAGGTTTGAAACAGCTCAAATAAACTCTGGACTGTCGACTTAAAATAGGGAGGTCCGGGTTTAAGGAGAACTCACCAGGGTCACCTGAAGAATGCAGTGATCCAGAGCGGTGCTCAATGAGGGCGAATGCCCGTTCAGTGTAGATTCCAGGTGGTCTCCAGTGAGTTTCTCTGAAATCCTGCCATGACTATACCAAGAAATGTCAACAAAAATTAACCAATAACCATTCTATAGATAAGAGCAATAGGTGAGTTATCTTGAGCCAGAGCAAGGATTATAACCTGGGAAGGCCTTAGAAAGCATTCCGGAGAAGCAGGGTTTACAGTACAGTCTTATATCTTTTTGGAACAAAGAACATACATTAACACACCCAGGATACATTTTCATCAAAATTTCAAAGAGGTATTCAATTGCAAATTAGCAGGTCAATGTGACCGTGATGTCAGGAAAAGGACTAATGTGGGCATTACCAATAGGGCGTTACCAATAGGGCATAACCAATAGGGCATAGGAGGGGAAGTATGCATTCTTATCTTTTTTTTGTGTGTGTGAGGAATATCAGCCCTGAGCTAACATCCATGCCAATCCTCCTCTGTTTGCTGAGGAAGACTGGCCCTGAGCTAACATCCGTGCCCATCTTCCTCCACTTTATGTGGGACGCTGCCAAAGCATGGCCTGACAAGCAGTGTGTCGGTGCGCGCCTGGGATCCAAACCCAGGCCGCCAGCAGCGGAGCATGTGCACTTAACCGCTATGCCACGCGGCCAGACCGTGCATTCTTATCTTAAGAGAGTGTATTGGTTACATTAATTGTTAAGCCGATGTACAATGTATGTTTGATAGGCCATAAGTCAGGCTTTTTAGTTCAAGCTGAATCAGTTTTGAACCTGAATAGTTACCCCACATACGTCAATATGTGAAAATCTCTTGTCACCATGTTCTCTGTGAATGTATCATCACCCTCCTTTTTCTATTCCCTGGCTATGTGGAATATTTTTTGCATGGAGTACAGGTGTGAGGATACCACTCTGTCTACAGAGTACAGATTTTTCCTTCTGAATCGTAATCCATTCAATTCTCCTATGAACTTGTGTAATTAAAGCAAAAGCTGGAAGATTGTCCATATATTCCAGCTTTCTGTCTCAGAATTCTCCTTGAGGCAATAAACACAGAGCAGACTAAAAATCTAAGCAGATGAGATGCAAAATATTGGAAGAAAGAAGATAGAATAATATTTCAAAACATGATTCTGCCCAAAATGCAAAGTCTTCACAACTGGGTCCGTGCCAGCCTATCCAGTGTCTTCACTTGCCATTCTCTGGCTCGATGACATTTCTTTCCTACAAAACTGAACCTGGCCAGCTTTCTTACTCCTCAGGCTTTTTCCTCCCCTGTGTTTTTGCACAGGTCGTCTCCTCTGCATGTGGGCTCCTTCACCATGCTTCTGTCCAGAGAATTCCTTCTTAGAGCACCGAGTAACTTTTCCCAACCCCACAAACAGGATCTAACTTTCCTTCCTTCAGGTACCCGAAGCACTTGTTACTCTGGTTTGAAACTCTTGCATGTCCCCCTGATTAGACTCCTGACTTCATTTCACGTTTCCTACTCTCAATTTTGCCAATTCTTTCCCTCAAAAATATTCTGACATTAATTTGTTTTATTACTACAGACAATACATGTGTATTCTAACAGTTTGAGGGCTATAAAAAGATTAAACGCCCTTCCCTACTCCAATCCCAACTCCTTAAGATACCAATTACAACAATTTGTATCCTTACATACATTTTTCTAAGCTGATACCAACATTTTAAAATACAGACACAAACATTCTTATTTACAACAATTGCAATATTATATATATATATAACTGTGTTATATACATCTATAACTGCAACATAGTTTTTATATATATGTGAAACTTCCTTTTTCACTTGATGTATAATAGAGATCTCTACAAATCAACGTTAGATCCATTCTAGATCTAGAATTCATTCTATTGCCGAATATTTCAGAGTGTGGCTTTTTCATAATATTTTCAAATATCTTATAAAACTTATATGAGATAACACATATCGATATATTTGCAATTACGTGGCACAAAGCAAGTTCTCAGTAATTTTTGCTGTTATTCCGAATAGTATAAGGAACAACATTCCAAATTTTTACTCCTAAAGTATCTCTAAAATCTGTTTCCTTTTCAGCATTCTTACTGTGACCCTCAATTTTATTGGGGAAGTGTATAAAGATGCTCACACTCTAAATGTAAAAAAGATCAGATGAGCTCTTTCAGTGGAATTGTCACTGACTAGGTGTCACAAGGAACTCAAGGGTGGGTTTGGAAGCATTTAACTGTTTTCCCAAATTGTTTTTTCCCCTTTTGTTGTGTTAAGGAGATGCAACCACCCACGCCCTGAACCAGACCAAGCCTCACCACAAGAGCTACGCCCATGACCTTTGCCTTATTTTTAATGCTAAGATCCCTCCAGGAGGAGCTTAGGCCTTATCATCCTAACCTGCAGTGTATATGGAAGCATGTTTTCCAACTGAGCCTGCGCAAGCAAATACCCACCTCTTCCTTTTGAATATTCATTCTCCATCTAAAATAAAAGTCCTTGCTTCCCTTTGTTCAGGGATGCCATGACTTTGGAAATGATTCCTTATGGTCTCCTATTTGCTGCAAATACACTTCACTTTGTGAGACAACTTCCACTGGTGTAGAGTCTTGTTTTAACTCACTAGGAGGCAAACCCACTTGGTTTGGTAACAGAATAGGGTGAGAAACAGCTTAGACTTTTCCATTGTAGAAATGTTTATAGTTTCTTTCAATAAAATAATGCCAGTTATGACTTTGATTTATAGTTATATCTTGCCGTATTGCAGTGGTTTTAAAACATAAACCAAAATTCTTTGACTCTCTCCGCATTGAGATCTGGGGATCTGTGCCCCTCCCTTGAATCTGCGCAAGTTTTTGTCTCTAGTTTACAGTAAAAGTAATGCTATGTGACTTCTGAGCTAGGTCAGGAAAGGCCATTCGGCTTCTGTCTGGTTCCCTTAGGATGCTTCCTCTGGGATAAGCCAGCCACCATGTAAGAAGATTGTCTACTCTGAATCTACCGTGTTGGAACGAAAGAC